ACGCGCGTGCCCTCTCACCGACTCGCGCTCGCACGCGCGTGCCCTCTCACCGACTCGCGCTCGCACGCGCGTGCCCTCTCACCGACTCGCGCTCGCACGCATCTCCCACATACTGGATTAGCAACCTGTTTCATAAGAATTACTATAAACTTACTACTGTATATTACAAAACTTTTATTACTATGTATTTTTTTCTCTAAAACCAACACATTTCAAGCACAAAATGATTAAAAAACGTATGTTTTCAGAAACTAAAAACTAAAAAGTCTAATTCATTCATCTCCGGTGATCTGTAACCGTGACACAGATCCTCATATGAACTGCTGGGGGGGCTGAATGGCCTTCTCTCGTCTGCAACTGTGTATCCAGGCCTGGACGACGGCCATGGGTGAGATCAGCCTACAGGAACAGAGAGCCCTGCTGCTGAAGCCGAGAGCCCGGCTCCTTTCGAGAAACGACTGGACCCTCCAGTCAGGACAGGAGGAGCTTCTTTACACAAAGGGTGGGGGGAGTGTGGAACAAGCTGCCCAGTCATGCTACTGAAGCCGATACCCTTGCCTCTCAAGAAACATGGGGACGAGATCTTCAAATCACTGAGCTAGTTTGCAGCGAGGTCTTCTGGTGTTACGGCACCCTGAAATTTTCTAGGGTTCAATACTTCACAGAGAAGAAGGCGACGGGCTCAGGGCGACTGGCAGGCAGGTCCCGGAGGTGGACCCTCTGCAGGTGGACTCACTTGACGTTGGCGTTGGTGCAGATGATGTACTCGATCTCCTCGGAGAACGGGTTCTGGAAAGTGAAGGAGCTCGTCCGCATCCAGACCCACTCCCGAGATTTGGACCGGAACCGGAACATCACCGATAGAACCTGACCTTTCAGCTTGATGACCTGCAAGAGGGAAGGAGTGTGAGGGAGGGGCTGCCTGTCTGACCTGACTTACAGCGAGCAGTGGGCAGCAGGCTGACCTGCTGGAAGCTGTCTCTCAGCAGCCCCTGGTCCTCTGGGTGGGCGAACTCCAGAATTTCCTTCCCCAGCAGCTCCTGGGGGGCAGACAGAAGAGAGAGGAACATACAATGAATTGCAGACCGAACAGGAACAAGACACCTCCCTTCCTCCCCCAATCAATCAATCAATCAATCAATATGGCCTCCCTTCCTCCCCCAATCAATCAATAAATACCGCCTCCCTTCCTCCCTCTCTCAATCAATCAATCAATGCCACCTCCCTCACTCAATACCACCACACCTTCCCTCTACCCGCCCTCAATCAATACTGCCTCCCCCTCCCTGCTCCCCTCTCCCACCTGTGGCTGGTAGCCCACTGTGCCCACACAGCGGTGGTCCACGAAGGTGAAGATGCCCTGGGTGTTGTGTCGTGAGATGAACTCGATGGGGATGCTGATGTTGTTCATGTCGGTGTTGCTGGGGCAACTGGTCACCTGCACAGAGTGAGCGACACCAGCAGACTGAGTGTCTGTACAGTTACTGTACAGCTCTGATGATGATGAAGGAGTGTTCATGTGAAGATACAGAGGAGCTGGACTGAGTGTCTGTACAGTGACTCT